CCTTCTCACCACGCGCCGCTCCTGAATCCAAGTAAAGCCCCGCACAAAATTATACCGTTTTGTATTTCGCGCCGTGACCCACGGCCCACGGCCTAAGCTCCTGGAAAACTTAACTTGGTGTGCCGCCTGCAAACTTGGATACGGTTAGCGAATATTGCGGACGGGGAATCCCAGTCTTCGGACCGCCCAGTACAACGCCCTTTCAAGAATTGGGTGAACGTATTTTTCTGCTTTAATAATTTCTGCATATCAGTATCACGACTTGATATTGTGATGCCATGTTGGCCCAGACAAAAAATCAATAACAGTTCGACAGTTTTTAAAAAGAATTATTTAATAAGCTTATAAAAAAGCAGTTTGTAGTGGTAATGCCCTTCCGTTCCAAGTAATTTAAATGGCAATTTTGCATTACTTGACACTGCCTTATTTGCATTGCTCCATACTCGACTTGTACAATGCGCGAGGAGTAAACTAAGTTCTTGGTCTGGCCGTAGACGTCCAACTACTACAAAGGCATGACGGCGAGCAGTCTCTGCTACGTAATAACGGTGGTCAACCCAGCACCCTCCCAAGCTGGCAGCGAAGTGGGTTCCTTACAGTGGCTGCATGGTGGTCTCCGTTTGGTGCGGCATCATAGCCCAGAATTGCTCGTATAGCGAATACGTAGTACGTCGATCACTGATAAATATAGTGTTCAACTGGCGTGCACATGCACATGCTCAACACTATGTTGCACACACTATGAGTCTTTGTATATGACGTAAAACTAACGCGTTGTAAACGCCGTTCTTTTACCGCTTGTTGCTTTATGTTTGACTTCTATTACATCACTAGCTATTGCTAACATGTGCTATTCATTGTTGTCCTTAGTCGTTTTAATAACATTTCCGGACTATGACAGCGACTCTCTCGTTGGTGTTCCTTGCGATGCGCTGCATGGCTGTGACGTCAGGTTCTCCGCAGGTTCCCCCCAATTGCACACGTAATTGTCAGACAGGTATCGAGACTGCAGTGCAATTCCATCCGATGGAAGACCCCCCCCCCCTCCCCTCTTTCTCTCTCCTCGACCCGCGCGCCTCTGTTGACTGACGAGTCTGGAAGACGACCGGCGCACTGCAGAGAGCAGCGCGCGCGAGGGCAGGCAGGCGCAAGCGAAGGAGATTGCAGGATTTGTCCGTTTGACGACTTTCTCGATTCCATAATTCTTTCCAATTTTCCTTTCCTTCATCTGCGAGAAATCTCTAGAGTGAGCCTCCATCCCCCCTCCCTCACCCATCACATCCCTTCCTCTTATTTCGAGAAAGCAGCGAGGGTGCGAACGCGGAGATCGCGAGCGGCGCGCGTCAAGATGTGATGATATGGCTTTTGCACGAGGTAAAAAAATGACAGAAAGTTGCAACAAAAACGGGAAAAGTCGCCTTATTCCACATGCGTGCGTGCATTCACTTTCCTCTCCCCCCCCCTCTCTCTCTCTCTTCTCTCTCTCTCTTCTCTCTCTCTCCCATGTACTTACGCTCACACCTCACACTTGCTGTGAGAGGCGCGAGGCGCGAGCGATGAGCGAGCCGGTCCTGCCTGATATGGAGCAGTCTAGCCCGCCCCACCCCGCCCCGCCCCGCGGTACGGACCACTTATCCCCCAATCCCAAACCGCTGCCGCCGAGCCGAGCACCCTTCCATTATAGCGGCTCTTGTTAGCAACTGCTTTGCCATATCGTGGCTTGGCGCTGCCATTTTCGCCTCCCAACTCCGCACCTCTCTCTCTCCCTCTCTCCCTCCCACGCCGATTCTCTCCCTCCCTCCCACCTCTCCTCCCCCCTTCAAATGAACAAGCGGCGCGGAGAGAGAAATTCGCTATCCGCTCCTTAATCGCTGACATAATTGGATTGGAAAAAGCAAATCACAGGACGGAGAGGAACGGGAAGGGGGAATGAGAAAGTTGCGGGAGGGGGGAGGAGGAAAAGTGAGATGGACTAAGGAAGGGGTAAACGGGATCACGGGAGCAAACGAGAGAGAGAGAGAGAGAGAGAGAGAGAGAGAGAGAGAGAGAGAGAGAGAGAGAGGAGAGAGAGGGGAGGTGAGGGGCTAGTAGTGCTCAGCGGCCGGAGGCCGAAGGTCAGAAGAGATGCCCCTAGGGGCGGCCGCGGTAGCCGCGGTGTGCCGGCGGGCACCCCCACCCTTATAAAAGGCCATCTCCTACCGAAGTGATTGCAGCTGCGACGCTGAAGCAAAGCTACAAGCGCGGATCCACCGACCCCACCAACGCGACAGAGCTTATCTCGCAATCGTCTCACCACCCAACACCAACAACCAGCATCATCAGCGCCATCACCTTGAAGCTGCAGCAAAACGCCCGACAGGGAGGCGGTCAGGGATGGTGGTAGGGGTGGGTGGGGGTTGTCGCCGGGCGGATCAACCGGCCGCGGTGGGCTTTCTTCGGGCGGGATAAGCCGCAATTAACCGCCGCCCCCCGCCGCCCCCGCCGCCCCCGCGCTAACACAGGCAGTGACAATAAACAAAAGGATAATGGAATAAAAGACGCCGCTTCTGGAAGGGGGGAGGGGGAGGGGGTGGTAAGAAACGGCCAGCCCCTGTAATAGGCGTGCAAACAGAAAGGTGGATAGCAGAGGGGCGGGTGGGGGAGCAGGAGATCTCAGGCGTTCTATCGCTGATCTCCATCTGGTCGCCATCGCCGGGCTAGCCCGACTGTCGGTCGCCGGCAGTCGGAGCCGCGGCTCGCCGGGCGGGCGGGGGGCGTAAGTATTGCAGGTGGGGTGGGGGTGGGGAGACTATTCCGCATGCAGCCGTGCCAACGCTCGCACAGTAGTCGCGAGTGATATCTCCTCTGTGCGTTATCCGCTCGGCGGATCAGCGAGACAACGCCGCCTAATTCCGCTCTTGCGCCCCGCACGCCGCGGCGGCATGTGTACGCGTTAGCTAGGCGGTGGGTCGCGAATACAAATGCGCACCTTGGTATCGCGGCCCTGCTTAGGGCGAAAACAGAGAAAACTATCTCTGTTCAATTTGTCGAGCGTTTGTTGGAAAAGTTGCACTGACTCTCCGTAATATCCTATATAGTGTCGGAGAAGACTGGTAGGGGATGAAGGATCAGGCGCGTTTGTATCGAAGAGCTGCTGGCTAGACGGGGTGGTGGGGATAGAGGAGAGGGTAGTTGGAGCGTGACATAACGGTACCCGACCAGATGCGCTATCTGTTAATAACCATCCTTTTCTTACCCCCTTCCCAATCGCTGGGCGCCCTCCCTCGCTCTCCGTCACGCCCCGTGGGGTTTAGGAGGCCGCCTGGGTCCCCCGGTGCGCCCCCTCTACCGGCCCCACGGGCTTATTGGCCCTTTAACAGGACATTATCCGGTAAACAGCGTACTTTTAATGGCCGCCCGGCCATGGCGCCCAGCTGTGAACGCGTTCGGCACGCCTCCACGCCTTCCGCGGCTGCTGTGCTCCGCTGCTCCACTCTGCTCCCCGCTCTACTAGCTTCTGCTCAGCCAGATTGAGAGGGGGCCACCTCCCCGCACCTTCCTGCCAATTTTAGCACTCCTACCCATGCGCTGAGGGCATTGTCTTATTTGAAAATTTACAACAACCTTTTTTGTCAATCATCCAGAATCACGAATAGTGTCGTAAAATTTACGACTGGCCATTTTTTCCTCGTCAAAAGAATTCAAAGCTGATGCGTGACGGCGTGTCATAAGAATTCTGTAGGTTTGCGAAATTAAAAAATTTGCGTATTAAAAAATTCTCCTCTTCCATTTCTCAGTGTTCACAGCTCCTACCCTACTCTAGCCCTCCCACTAATTATTCATCCCCAGTAGGTTGTCAAAAACCGTGCGGAAAAAGTTGCCGCACTTGCTTTTCTTAGAAAAACGAATACGCTACCAATTTAATCATACACCTTACACTTGCGGAATTTTGGGGGGCTCTTTTGAAACAAAGTTTCGAGCGATTCAGGGCGTCGTGATGTCGTGCTGACGCACTCACCTGTCAGCCTGCGGATACAGTCCGTGTTGTTGGGGTAGTTCTTGGGGTAGTTGGGCGACTTGAAGATGGTGGCCCGCCTGTCGCCCTGCATCACCTCGTCTCTGGCGAACTGCTCGCAGGCCACGGACGGCACGTCCACGTCGTTGCCGGTGAGGGCGGTAGAGCCGCCGGGCAGGTCCCGCCGCTGCGGGCGTTGGAACCTGGGACGCGAACAGTGTTTGCATTAAAGGGTCGCGTTCACAAACTCCCAAATTTCATTGCAACAAATAATAATTTTTTCACCTCAACGACAACATTAAATTGGTTCGACAAAGTTTTCCTTTACTTTTCTTTTTGGACGCCCGAACGAAAAATAATGTTCTTTAGTTTCTGGCAGGAAATTTACTTTACAGTAAATACAATTTATTTTCTCCTAAGAAAGCGGTTTTCTGTGTGTGGGTTCTTGCTCTCTCACACTCACCTCCTGTACTGGATCATGATGGAGCTGTCGTCGCGGTCCTTGTCCTTGCCGGTGTTCCCGGGCGGGGGCGACGTCCCCGGCGTGAGGGCCGAGCTGGCCGGCGAGGTGGTCGCGTCGCTCACGCCATTCATGAGGATGAGGCTGCCACTCTCCATCGCCGAGCGGTTGGACGGCGCGTCACCACCTGCACCACAGAAATCGAGACATCACTTATTTATTTCAATTTCCATGACTCTTTTCGTCTCCACGTGTTATTCTTGTCTTTCGCGACCTGCGCGTTATCGACCCCCTCCATCTCTCTCTCTCTCTCTCTCTCTCTCTCTCTCTCTCTCTCTCTCTTTCTTTCTCTCTTTCTCTTTCTCTCTCCGCATCTCTTCCGGTGCGTCTGCGGTAGCACGCCTGCGAGACTCTCTACCGAAGCAGCACCTGCCGCACCGATCGCAACCCGATACGAGCCCTTAGCGCGTCACAATGAAGGAGGGTGGTTCAGCTCGGCAGTGAGTGTCCCCCCCCTCCCCCTTCTCCGTACCCACCCCCTACTCCGCCGCACTCCAAAGTCTACCGTAAGGTGCGCTGCTACTCTGCAGCAGCAACGCAAAACGCATTAGATACTCGGGGTGGGGGTTGTATACTATATACATGCACCTTCACTCTCTCTATTTCATCTTTTTTTTACACCCAGTTGCGAGGAAAGGTTAACGACGAAGGTGCAGAACGAGAGATGCTCAGGGCGATGGGGACGACGAGGGACGAGGCGGCGGGAGGAAGACGACGAGCTCTGCCGCCGTGGGAGGTGCCTGATCAATGCGAGATGCATCTGCATGCTGCAGCTGCGCGCGCGCCCCGTGCACCGGTTACCCTGCAGAGCGAGCGAGACACGAGAGAGGCGCAGTAGTGTGAGAGAGAGGCTGAGGCAGAGGGAGAGGGAGAGGGAGAGAGAGAGAGAGAGAGAGAGAGAGAGAGAGAGAGAGAGAGAGATCAAATGAGGAAAAAGGAGGAGGAGGAGGAGGAGTGAGGAGGGAGAGCTCGGAGGCCCTCATCGCCCTTCATTTCTCATCGGGAGCGACAAGGAGCGCTGCAGAGCGCTGCGGAGCGCTGCCGCCTCGTCCCCGAGGGCCCGGTATAATTGGGTGGTGTAAGTGAGGGGGGGACACGGGTAAGGGAGAGTGGGAGAGTGCGAGAGGGAGAGTGTGAGAGAGTGAGAGAGAGAGAGAGGGAGAGAGTGGGAAAGGGAGAGCATGGTCCGAAGGGAGCTGCCGCCTCCCCCCTGCCCCCCACCGACGCGCGGCCTGCAGTGTCCATTGTCGAACAAACAAAGGAAGTGGAGGAGAAGAAGGTCTTTTACAATGGCAAAAGAAACGGCGAAGGCCAGGAGGAGAAGTATAGTAGTGTCTCTTGGATTCAGGAGCGCAGCCAGCGTAGCCAGCGCAGCAGGCGCGGCGGGGTGGGTGGGCGCTGGGCGCGGCAGGTGAAGTCGTAGAGAGTACTTACACCCCGAAAAACGTTTCCTCGAAGCGAATAAATAGTTAGATTCGTTATCCATTCCGAGAGCGTTTTGGGACCATCATTTGAAATCCACCCATGTTGTTGTTTCTGCGTCCCACTATGGTCTCAGTTCGAGTGCTAGTAGTTGTGATGAGACGCAAAACGTGGAGTACAATTTGTAACCAAATCAAAGAACCTATCTTGCTCTGTGTGTATAGTGGAGATGTGGCGTGGAGGGGCGTGGTCGCGAAATGAGAGCCTCCCAGTAGGAGGCAGGGACGAGCTTTTGATACCGACGGCGGAGAGAGTATACACTTGGTTCGCGTTCCCGCTCGCGGGCGTTGGCGTGTAGCTACTCTCCCTCCCCACCCGCATGCTGACATTCGCCTTTACGTTTCCTGACCATGTTCCGCCCGGCCTCAGGAGAGATAAACATTTGGAGCGGTTCGCGGTGCGCCCGCCCCGCCTGACTCGCGCACTCTCGGGGTTCTGGTGCTATGGTCGGTGCCCCACCGCCGCCACCGCCGCCACGCCGCCACGGCCAGCCAGGGCAGGGCCGCCACCGCGCCGCCTCCGCTCCATCCCCCGCAACGCACCACATCGCCACGCCCCGGCCCGGGGTTGTGTGGATCTGGAGGGCGAATGGTCCTGGCACTCTGCCAACTCCCAGTGCGATGCCATAACTACCCCGCTCAGCCCGCCCCGCCCCGCCCCGCCCCAGCCGGCCCGGGCGAGGCGGGCGCGCCTCGGCTCGAGAAACCGACGCCTCCTACGCATTTAGTCGTGGGAAATGCCCCACCTCCCTTCCCCTCCCCCACCCCGCATTACAGATGGGTAGGCCTCACCGGGCGCTCTTATCTCCGAGTCATAAAGACAGCTGCGCGGTGCGCTCTAACGGAACGGTAGACAAACCTTTTGGGCAACGAGAGGTGCGGGAGTGCGGGGTTGGGTGGGGTCGGCGGGTACCGTGAGTGCCCTTGCTGCCATGAAATCACGACTGCATGGGGAACACCACGCGTTTGACGAATCGAAAGAACAATAAACAAGATGAAGAAAGAAAAATCAATCAGAGATCCGAATGGTGACAAATTTTTATACATTATAGTTCCAAGCGAATGTTTCTTCACATAAAATAAAGTGCTGAGTTCTAAATCAAGGAAAAAATTGCTAGCTTCAACAAATCATTTAACTAGATGGAGAAGATTCATTTGGAAACGTTGGAAACGTATTCGTGCCACAGCAGACGTCTTATTTCGGGAAGTGCCGAGGGAGTAAAAACGAGGAGATGGAGCAGCGCGCGGTCAGTCTTCCTCGTCTGGTCTTTTTCGCGGCGATCGAAAGTGATTTTCGTCACAACCCACGCTCTCTTCGAGGCTCTCTTCGCCGCTCGATCAACGTGGCTTCAACGCCTTCCTCTCGGCTCTGGCTCCTGCCTGCCCCCTCCCACTTTCCCCGGAATACACCTCCAAAAATCTCAAACCACTTTGAAAGATAATCTTTCCCCTACAACGTGCATGGCACGGGGTAGTCTTTTTTTTGTGGGCTGCCCATGTTAATACTTTCCAACCTCTTCGCTTCAACATTATGTTAATCACTTCACAGCGGTGCAACTTTGGGCTTCCGCCTCCTTTTGCGCCCTGCTCGCAGAAATTCTTCAGAACTGTTTTGGGAGTGCCCGGGCCACGAGGAGCGCCGAGGGACAGCAGGGTAGGCTACCGGTTGGCCCATTGAGGCGACGCCGCCCCCGGGCCGCCCCAACTAAATAATGTACCCCTCGATCTGGTGATTTGTGAGGAGAATCGCTCCTCGGCCCGTTTCCTCCGGGACCCTGCTGCCCCTGCTGGCCTGGACGACCCTCCTGCCCTCCTAGGCCCCGCTACCGTACCTTTCCCGAGCCACCAAATTCCCCACTGATCTGCCGCCACCCCCGTGAAAAGAGGACACGTGGAATAAAGTTGAAACGCTACGAAAATTTTAAATCTAAAACAGGAAAACGTTGTCGTGAATTATCTTAGATTTTAGTCGGAATGTTTGACACGTAAGGAGCTGCCCAGCAAAGCGGAAATTATAAACACATGTCCTTAAAAAATCGATTTCCCCCCATAACAGGCACATTATATGGAAGGGGAGGGCGCTGTTCTGCCCCGCCCCTGAGTTGGGCCAATATCCTTTCAACCCTCCTCCGCTGGCCGCGAGGCTGGCTACCCCACGACGGGCTTCATTCAAAGGCGGGGAAGACGGAACCACGACGAGATTCAAGTTTCCCCGCGCAATCTCCGACGTCTTTTCAGAACAAGCGCTTGTCCGGTGTCCTGGGGCCGGTCGGCCGGCCGGGGACCGGCGGCGCGCCTGCTGCCCCAGCCCGGCCACAACCAGCCCCCCCAGGGTGTGCGACGACGCCCCCCGCGGGGCCGGGCCCGGCTCGATAAATCAAAGTCTGCTATTAGCCAGCCAACCAGCGGGGGCCGGGGAGCCGGGAAGGGGGA